CACCAGGGTTGGGGCCTGCTGTTTTATCCAGTCTGAAAGTGCCTATCTCTTAATTTATGTGTTTGGAGTATGTTTCATACAGTTACCGATATGGTTGGCTTTAGGTCTCCCCTTTTGCTACCCTGTTTCCCAGGTGTCCCATTTGGTTTTATATTCTTCCATTCTTCCTTTTCTCTCTTAGTTTTGGCTAACCAAGGCATGCCTGGGTGGCTCAGTCATTAAGTGTCTGCCTTCAGCTCAGGTCATGATCCCAGGGTCCTGGGATCGAGCCCCACATTGGGCTCCCCCCTCAGCAAGAAGCCTGCTTCTTCTTCTCCCACTCCCCCTGCTTGTGTTCCCCTCTCTCGCCGTGTCTCTCTCTGCCAAATAATAAATAAAATCTTTTAAAAAAAATTTTTGGCTAACGAAAAAAGTATTTTAATACTCTATTTTGTGTCTCTTAGTGCCATTTTAGCTACCCTCTCTGTGTTGTTACTCATCAGGTTCCCTGAGCTTTCCGGGAGGCATCCCTAACTCACCATGCTCTCCTTGGATTTAGTATCATATCGTTCCCCGTACGAGAACTATACGATAGAAACATCTACTCACCCCAACTTCTACACTGCACTTGTTGCATATTTTACATTGACATATGCAATAACACTGGCCATGCATTCTTATTTTTATTTTAAATACTTCTCTTTCAAAGAAATTAAAAGATGATCTTCCACTTACCTAAATATCTACCAGCACACCACTCTTCCCTGCGGATCTGTATTTCTAACTGTGGTAATATCCACATGCCTGAAGAATTTCCTTTCAGCATTCTCTTTCAGAACACAGGTGTGCTGGTAATACATTCTCTAAGCTTCCATTTATCTGAAAATACATTAATTTCATCTTCATTTTCGAAAGATATTTTTTTCCAGGTAGAATTCCAGGTTGAGAGGCTTTTTTTTTTTTTCCTTTTTTACGACTTTGGATATGTTCTACCATTATTTTCTAATTTGCGTTGGTTCCTTATTTCAGTGAAATAATGTCAGCCATTATTCACTGTTGTTTCCTGTATGCAGTGTGTCCTTTTCTTCTGGCTACTTTCAAGATGTTTCCACTAGCTTTAGTTTTCAACAGCGTAGCTACGATGTATCTAGGTTGGTTTTTTTTATATTTATCCTGCTTGGAATTCATTGCTTGAAGCATCTTAGACCTGTAAGTCAACATTTGTCCTCAAATTTCAGACATTTTTGGCCATTATATCTTCAAATATTTGTTCTGCTCCATTCTTACTCTCCCACTGCTATAGGACTTCAGTTAAATATGATAGGCTATCTGATATTATCCCATAGGTCACTGAAGGTCCAGTCAATTTTTTTCTCTGTGCTCATCAGTTCAATACTTTCTATTGTTCTTTCTTCAAGGTCTGGTGAAGCCCTTTTCAGATGTTGTAATTTTCAGTTCTAGAATTTTTATGTGGTTCCTTTTTATAGTTTTCATTTATCTTCTGATATCTCTTATTGATTCACTCATTATGGCCGTGTTTCCTTGGAATGGGTAGTTGACAATTTTTTTCTTAAAGGGCCAGAGAGTAAATATTCTCAGCCAGCCGGACATCTAGTCTCTGTAAACATTTAACTCTGTCTTTACCACACAAAAGCAGCCACAGACCAAATGTAAACGAATAAGTGTGGGTTTGTCCCCATAAAGTTTTCTTTATAAAAATGAATGGCGGCCGATTGTCTGCTAATTCCAAAATCTGGGTCATTTTAGATTCTAATTGACTCTTTTTTTAAAAAATGGGTCACACTTTCCTATTTCTTCACATGTCCAGAATTTTTAAAAACTTGCTGGACGTTATAAATTACACATTTTAAAAGGTCTGGAATATGTCATCTTCCTTTCAGAGGCGTTACATTTTGTTCTTACAGGCCCTTCAGTCCCAGGTGCATCCTCCTGTCAGCTTTGGTCTTACACTTCATAAGGATGGGTCTGTGTGGGGGAGTGTCCGAAGTCCAGCCATGCCAGCAGCCTAGAACCCTTTTTCCCTCCTCAGGTCTGTGAGACCACGGCTCTGCCTGGGTTCCACTTTGGTGCCATTTGGCAGGAAAGTGGCCGTGAGGGCCTCCATGGCAATGGTGGGGCTCACGTCACAGTTCCCTCTTCTTGAATGATACAGTGCTGCCCTGCCTCTTACTCAATGCCTGGAAACACTTTTTTTGCACATTCTGTCTGGTTTTAAAGTTGTTTCAGCAGGAGGATAAGTTTGGGTACCAAAATTTTGCCATGGCTGGAAGCAGAAGTCGTTGTTGATTTCCCCCCCTTCAATTATTTCATCTTGCTCAGGGAATATCCATTGCTTCTAAGTTGTTGTTGTTGTTGTTGTTGTTGTTAATTGACTTTATGGTTTAAAGCAGTGTTAGGTTCACAACAAAACCAAACAAAAGGTACAGAGATTCTTCACATACTCTGGACCTCATTCATGCATAGCCTCCCACGTGATCATATTGTCAGCCCCCACCAGGTGGTACCTGTCTTTCAGTGGATGAACCCGCACGGACACGCCATCATCACCGGGTCCACAACAGACATCGGGCTTCACTATTGGTGTCGCACATTCTGTGGGTTTGGGCAAGTGTATAATGACACGCACCCACCAGTATAGTATCCTACAGAGTATTTTCACTGCCTCGAAAATCTTTTGTATGCTGCCTATTCATCTCTCCCTCCTCCCTAACACCTAGCCTCCAGGATCTTCTTACCGTCTCCATAGTTTTGTCTTTTCCAGAGTGTCATATAGTTGGAACAACACAGAATGTAGCATTTTAAGTTGGCTTCTTTCACTTAGGAATATGCATTTAGGTTTCCTCCATGTCTTTTCATGGCTTGATAGCTCATTTCTTTTTAGCACTGCATACTATTTTATCGTCTGGATGGACCAGAGTTCATGTATCCCTTCACCTACTGAAGGACAGCTACACGTAGCTTCCAAGTTTTGGCAATCACGAGTAAAGCTGCTAGAAACATCCATGTGCGGATTTCTGTGTGGATGTAACTTTTCAATTCCTTAGGTGAATACCAAAAAGTGTGCTTGCTGGTATACAGCAAAGCAATTTACTTTCGTACATTAGCTTTGTATCCTGCAACCCTGCTGAAGTTGCTTATTGGTACCACAAGGGTTTTGTCTATTTTTCTAGATTGTCTACAGAGGCAATCATGTCATCTGCAAGAGAAAGTTTTACTCCTTCCCAATCTATACAACTTTTAATTCCTTTTCTTTTCTAATTGCATTAGCTAGGACTTTCAGCACCATGTTGAAAAGTGGTGATGAGAGGGAACATCCTTGCCTTGTTCTTTCATTTATTTTTAAATTATTATTGTGCATATCTTATCTTAGCAATAGATTCACCTTCTGATACTCAAAACATAGGTTGGTTCTGATGTACAGCAGGTACAGTGACTGGTCCTAGGGATGCAGGCTGTGCAGAGAGATGACCTCTAGCAGGAGATAAGGGTTAAGGTGAACTTCAGTCCCGCCTCTATCTGAATTACCATTCTCGTTTCCTGGACAGAGGCAAAAAGGAAGGAAGAAGAACGGGCATCTGTTCTATGTCTCTTATGTGTGGACAGTCTCCAAGTTACATAGTCTTCTGAATCGTTGGGAAGTACAGTGTTCATTTCATGCAATCTTTAAAACAAACAGTAAAATGGTGATGATGATTATACTACCCAGTTTATAGAAAAAGTGGCCAAGCCTTCGAAAAGTAAAAACAAGGACACTCTATAGCTATTAAGCTGGTAGGGCTAGGATCTAGAAGCTCATTTTTCTCCCCTTTCTATCATGCTACCTTTCTTGCCTTATTATGGTGATTTTTATGATGACCAGTATCTTTCAGTGTGTATGTTACATGTCCCTTTCCAATCACTGGCTCTCTGAGCCTTTCATATTATTTCCACTTAGACCCTTCTTGGTGAGAGGTGGGTGAGCTGTCCTCCCTCTCCTTGCCCTCTGTGATTCAGGAGATCAGGGGTATCCTGAGTCATGGGTGGGGCAAGATCTGGGGCGCAGTGTAAGGTCAGAGAGAAGATGCACTCCAGTGGAGGGATGATTAATGAGCCATCGGCCGGCTGTGGTCTGCCAGCGATGAGTGCAGCAACCCGCCTGGATTTGTGCCTGTGCCGGCGAGGGGCGAGGCCGTCAGTGCCGCCTCACCTGTTCCTGTCTCCTGTGATCCTTCCTAGCCACGATCTCCATCCAGCCTGGGGCTTTTCCCTAACCATCTAATCTCTCGAAGCAGGACTTGTTGTAAGATAACACAATGGAATCATTTTTCTGATTTGAACAGCACATTTTTCCCCCTTACTACTTGGGCATTTGGCTACTATTTCAGGTGTCCTTGGTGAGAAACCAGTGTCCTTTTTTGAAGCGGGGTGAGAAAGGGTCAAGTCCTTGTGGTATGAGAAGGGATTTGGAAAACTCAGAGGTGGGGAGGTGGGTGAAAAATATACGTTACCTACTTGCCAGACTTTGGGTGGAGCCCTTTACATATATTTCTCAAAAAAAAAAAAAGAAAGAAAGAAAGAAAGAAAGAGAGAAAGGAAAGTGGTACAGAATCACTAATTATAGAAATTCTGACAATCCTTATTTCCTGAAAAGTATTTCTTGCCCACACGTGTCCCTCAATTAAATTTATATGACTTTCCTCCCTTCCTTTCCTCATATCCTTTAGTCCTCTTCTCTCTTTCTATACTTGTTCAGCATGAGGCATATTCAGAATAAAACCTCATTTGCTTCTATTCATTTAGTTTGAAATAAATTGTAATTTGGAGGGGAGCTCTGTTGAGGTCAAAGTCTGAACCGTCTCTGATACAAAGGTTTGTAAAGGACAGTGGCGACAGCCTTTGTTTCTTTCTGGGAAGAGGTGGGGTACCCATAAATCCTTTAAAGAGAGCCAAGAAATGTGTGATGGGATCATCCAAGGGTCCATGTGTGAGCGTGAGAGTGGAGCCTCCCTGACCCGAAACAGGCCTCTTTTTCTCGGCAGACCTTTGTGATGACAGCCCGCCGAGCCTCAAGCACGCCGCGTACAAAGCCCTCGAGTACAGGACCGGCACGATGCTAACTTGTGGATGTGAGAGAGGCTTCCGCAGGCTAAACAGCGTCATGCGTTGTGCAGGAAACTCCAGCCACGCTTCCTGGCAGAACAAATGCCAATGCGTCAGCACATGTAAGTGTTTCCTTTTGTAACATGGAGGGAAGGAAAAGAACTCTAGTAGGACGACACAGAGCGTCAGCCCTACAGACGAAAACCCACCTGCCCAAACTCTGCAATAACTCACCTCAACGGTTCCTGGAAAATCATTCACTCAACAAATATTTAAGGCGTGCCTCCCGGTTCCAAGGACTGATCTAGGCCCTCGGGATACCCAGCGCTCAAAGAATTTATATTTTGCAGGGGGAGAGGGAACAGACATTATATTAATCGTTACTGAACAATTTGAAAATAAGTCTAATTCATGCCAATATAAATGTACTTCATGCCACCAAACTACACATTAAAAATGATTCACAGGGTATGTTTTATGCTATGTATATCTCATCACAATTTTTTAGACATAAAAACTTAAAAAGACTGGTCAGAATGAGCCCATATAAAGAATCAGAAAAATAATAACCATCCCGGTGAGTATCTACCCGTAAGGCTACACCAACTCTTTTGCATTTTGCTTTCGGAAGCTCCCACCTCATGCCACCCACAGGCTGCCTGGTGCCAGCAATCCATCCTAGCTCCACCCCCAGCAATATGGCGACCTGAATTCCCAACAACTCCCCAAGATGCCTCCATGCCCTCGCCTCTCAGGGTCCATTCCCACAATCCTAAGGAGGAAGCTCTGGGTAGAAAAGTGGAGGTAGTGGGAGAGACATTTCCTTCCCTGATGAGAGTAAAGAGGGAAGAGAAGCTCATATTACTGACTTGGAGAGTCTTATCTATTACGGATATTTTCTATTTTTTTTTAAGATTTTATTTATGTATTTGAGAGAGAGAGAGCACAAGTGGGGTGAGGGCCAGACGGAGAAGCAGGCTTCCTGATGAGCAGGGAGCCCGATGCAGAGCTCGATCCCAGGACCCAGGGATCATGACCTGAGTGGAAGGCAGACCTTAACCGACTGAGCCCCCGGGTGCCCCTATTACAGGAATGTTCAATGTGGCTGCCAAGAAGTCTTTGAGACATTTCTTCAGAGGACAAATCCATGGTCAAGCAGAAAGGATTGTCCGCCCAGGGTCTTCCCAGCCCAATGTCAGGAGCTGGCATTCCAGAGTGTGAGAAATATTCCCCCAAAGACCCCCAGATGTCCCCCGCCCCCCCACACACGTTCCACTACCGCAAGACCCTGGCTGCCCTGGGGGAGCGAGGAGAGTGTCAAGCCCAAAGGCAGGTCAGGCTGCTGGGGGGGGGGGGGGCTCCGAATCTGTGGGTGGCGGGTGCAGAGCAGAGAGAAAGAGGAGGAAGAGGAAGCTGTTCCCTTTGAATGGCTTATTTCTGGACTTTATATACTGGCTTGAGAGCCTCCTAGCCCTCACTGCCTGACAGCATTGGAACCGGCAGTGGACTAAGGGTCCTGAACCCCATTGCTGCTGGCAAGGGCGAGCACAGAAGCCTGAGCACCCTCCACCCTCGCCTACCCCCGCCCCCGAGACAGTAGGCCGGTCGGATGTGGAGGGCATGACCCCCCGAGGGGCTTTCAAGACCTAAGCTGAGCTGACTTAGCTCTTCTGTGTTCTCCACCGAGTCCTGAAAGCTCTCTCACAAGCCCAATTTCTCTACCGGGTCTCTTGTCTCTGTGATACTGGAACATGGTGAAAAGTGGTAGGTCCATTTGTCCTTCGATGCTTCAGCCCTGGGGACGGGGTCTGGGAGCTACAGTGAGTTCTGTGTCGGCCACCCCAGGCACGGACTGCAAGGTCTGAAGACCTCTGCTGACCCCGTTGCCTCTTCTCCCAGCAGACCCTCCCCAGACCCTCAGCTGGAATCCCGAGCCCATCTCAGTGGTGCCCATACTCAGCGACTTTGCTGAAGTCTTCACAACAGAGAGGAGTGTGATAGGAGGCTTCCCTCGTCCTTGCTTTACGACTGAATCCCTTACCTTTTAAATGAACTGCTGTAGGGAAACAAGGAATTCCTCACAGCCATCGTGCCCACGCCCGCGTGCAAGGTTGGCAGGTGGATGGGCAGAATGGAGTTCCTTTTGGGGAAACCCACACGCACCAGACAACCTCTCAGTTCCTTCAGAAACACGTTCTGGGGGCGCCTGGGTGGCTCACTCAGTGAAGCGTCTACCTTAGGCTCAGATCATGATCCCAGGGTCCTGGGCTGGAGCCCCATGTCGGGCTCCCTGCTCAGCGGGGAGTCTGCTTCTCCCTCTGCCTCTGCCTGCCTCTCTGCCTGCTTGTGCTCTCTCCCTCCTTCTCTCTAAATAAATAAAATCTTAAAAAAAAAAAAAAGGAAAAGAAAAGAAACACATTGTGAGTCACTGATGCTCATGGGGAGGTCCCACTGGGAGCACCCCAAGGGCAGGGTGTGTGTGTGGCTCCTCTTTGTAACCCCTGAACCCCCATACTGCCTGGCGGTGGAAAGACACACGTCGAATAAATGAATACCAAAGAGCATCTTCTATTTTAAGCCTCTGTGAAGTTATTTGCTTCTGTCTATACCCCCTAGCCTCCAAGAGAACAGAAAGACAAGTCACTCCCAAACCCGAGGAAGAGAAGGCAATGCAGAGCCTAACGCTGCCCGGGGACCAAGGGAACCTTCCAGGTAAGAGGCGGGTCTGCACAGCGGTCTGGCCGCCTCCCAGGCCGACCCTGCTCCTGCGGGCGCACCCTGTGCTCCCCGGGGGAGGGACATCTGGTCCACCATCCTCTTCTTACAGGATGTCAGGGAAGCGAGAACATCTGTGCAGTGTTTACAGGGTCTAGGGCCACTATCCTTTCCAGCCCGAGAGGGCTCTGGGCTTCCTCCCGCTCCAGGAGCTGAGCCCAGCAGCCCTGGGCTCAGGTCAGCTCAACCCGGTGCAACTGAACTGAGTTCAAAAGCATGTATGATGCTGCTCACGGTGCCCGGCCCTACAGACTGCGGTGTCAGCCCTCGAGGAAATGCGCTTGTTTTCCCTTCAGTACAAGACAACAACTGCCAGCCAAGCACCTTACCTCAAAATGTTGCTTATAAACAGAGGTGTGAGACCTGCTGGGCTATGCTGGGGAGCACTAAGGCCACCGACAGACAACTCCAAGCTAATGGGATGCGGGGGAGCGAGCAAGACTCCAAACGAGCCTCGCTCAGATCAGGTCCTCAGGTCACGAGGACACAGAGCCTGTTAGGAAAACCTGAGTTTTGGGGGGACCTACCAACTTTTACAAGACCCTCTGTCCTGTGTTAATTTTATTATTTTAAGTTAAACAGAAGTTAAAAGACAGCTACACTCACATTTGGGAGTAAGGTCTTACTCAGGATCTTTCTACTGATCACCTTTTTAAAACTAATTTTAATTTATTTGCAGCTTCCAATATATATAAAAAAACAAAAGACAAATCGAGGGGCACTGTTGCAATATCATACTTTTTATCTTGGACCTCCAACTTCGGGCTGACTGGCATTTCAAAACACATTTAATTGTTCATTTTTCTCTCTTTTTCTCATATTACCCTGAACAGTTATTTCAAGGTCTTTACGGAAGTCAAAGTTTGTTGTCCTTATTCAGGAGATGACCAGCCACTGGTTCTGGCAGACCCTCTTAATGGGATGTTTTCATTCAAGAGAAGCAAACGTCATTTAAACAGGTTCCGACCATTACAGATTTTATTGGCTGTAAAAGAAATTTTCTTCTGAGACTAAACCTAAGTTCAGCCATGATCTGGAAGGTGCTACACTAGAGCCGATCCCATGGGACAGGTCGGCTCTCCACTTGCTGCCGTGGGCTTCCCTCTGGGGCAGGGGGTTTATGTGTAAGACACTTTTAAAGGTCATACTGGGTATTCGGACCGTGGAAGGTCTGGAAGGCCAGAACCCACGTCTGGGGAGAGAGGGTACATGTGCTTCCGTATACGCAGATGTGGGGTTGGGTAGGGCACCCCGAGAATAAAACAGAGCAGGACATGATCCCTGGGGTCAAAGACCAGTCAGGCTTGGCTTTTAGCTAGGCGAGTGGAAGGTTTGAGGGCATGGAGAATTTCAGAGGCTTTGGCAGGGCTCACATAGAGCAGGCTTTAGGCATGGTTTGATCAGAGATCAGGTTCCATTTCCCCGAGCTTCTCTCAGCCCTCCCCTCCCTCTGGTGTTGGCTCTATCTCCAGTTCTTCCACCACAGCCCCAAGAGGACCAGCAGCCACCACCTGAGGAAGGACCTCCTCGCTTAGAATGGACATCGGGGGTGGGCTTCACCTTCCCCTGGCCGCAGTGGGCTTGAGCCTACCTTTATCCTTCAGCTGAGACTGCCCCCCCTCACTCCTGAGCACTTATGAGAACCCTCGCCATCACAAGGAGCCGCTCATTGCCCTGGGCTCCTCAGTGACAACACTCAGGACATTGTGCCTCCAGGCGTCATCTTCATTCAATCACTCACCCCCTCCCACGGGAGGGACAGGGTCTGGGTGCCTTCCCTCGCTCGGAGTGCCTGGCAACGTTCCGGACGCACAGACCTCTCAGCACATACTGGTGCAATAAAAGAAAGAAAGAATGAACAGTAAGAACCGAGGTCCGGTCTCCAGCAAGAGGCAACTCGGGTTCATGGGATGCCTTCCGAACTTCCTGTCCCTGTTCCAGGTCACTGCAGGGAGCCTCCTTCCTGGGACCACGAAGATTCAGAGAGAATCTACCACTTTGTGGTGGGGCAGACGGTTCACTACCAGTGTGCGCCGGGATTCAGGGCCCTGCGGAGAGGTTCTGCCCAGAGCGTCTGCAAAACCGTCTCAGGGAAGACCCAGTGGACGCGGCCCCAGCTCAAGTGCATAAGTGACAGAGAGGATGGTCAGTTCCCAGGTATGGAGGCACCCGCGTGGGCCCGTCCCCCTGCTTTTCCCACTGGGCTGCGCGGAGTGGAATTCCCGGCCCGCCGGCTCCGTGACTGCAGGCAAACTACTCCATCTCCTCGGGCCTCTGTTTTCTCTCATTCTAGAAAATACACCAGATACACTAAGGTCCCTATCACCTCAGGCTCCCCGCACCCTGAGTGCGGATAAACGGTAGAAGGTGGAAGAGGAGGGAGATCTCGCGAGTGTTCACTGGAGACAGTGCTGCCCCTTCCTAGCCGATCCTGAAATCTGACCTCTTCTAAGCTACCAGAACTTTCTCTCATTCAAAAGGGCAAGGCCAGCCTGCCAGCATGCACTTCTAGTTACGGATACATAACGTGAACTCATTATGTGTCTGGCAGTCCACCGTTAGCCCGCTCCTGCTCCTCGCGCAGTGCCCCTCCGGGCTTTGGTAAAAGCACCAGTGTGCAGGGAAGGGGCCAGGTCAAGCAGGGACGTGACCGTGTGTGCGCGCGTGCACACACACACACACTCATTCAGACATGCGTGCAACCCGCCACACACACCACACTCATTCAGACATGCGTGCAACCCGCCTCTGCGGAGGTCTGCTATTTTCATTCCGAAAGCGTACTACTATTTTTACAACCCAAAGCCGCTCAGATTTAAACATCAGTGTTACAGGTTTCTCAGCTCGCGCCCGTTGGTTCTGAACTCTCCCCGGAGTTTCCCTGGGTGAAATCTGAAACCGCCCCCATACACGGAGCGCGCAGGGAGAGACCAGAGAAAGAGGCGGGCCACCACTGGCAGGTGGCGGTTTGAATAAGCAGAGGAACTTACACGGGGCTAGTGTGGGGCAGCAGAAAGAGGCATGGACACCCGAGCTCGGCCACCGGATCTTACAAGTTTATAACGAAGCCTTAACGGGGTTAGTCACTGATGCTCTGCAGGTGTTCTCGATGGCCCATGGCTAGCTCCAGGCTGTGTCCTTGGAGCAGCCTCTGGGAGCGGGAAAGGCAAGCGGGGCCCGTATTCCGAGCACAGGGAAGGGGTGAGGGGTCAGCTGGCACTTGCATCCTTCTGATGACATTCCCCGACCGTGCGCTGGCAGGGAGCCACGTGGCTGGCCGGGCGCCTGTTGCATGTGTCCCCTCCCGTGTCAGAGGATGGGAGGGCAGGGTCCCAGGTAACTGCAAACAACCACAAGGGGCAGGGAACCTGTCCCCGAGAGAAGCTGTCCTTTTGTGCGTTTCTACTTCATTTGCTGTTTCGGGGCACTTGGGCACGGATGACCTGTTTCCAAGCCACTGGTGGAAACCAGGGCTGACCAGGAACCTGGGGAAGGAGAGGCTGCTTGGGGTCCCACAGCGCCAGGGTCAGGGTCAAAAGTCCCTCTCGCCCGGGGGTGCTGGGGCCGTTCCCGCGTGCCTGTGGCCTGTTGTAGAGGGACCGGACCCCCAGACCACGTCAGAGAAGGGAGATCCGCACCCCACTGTGTCCGGGTCAGCTGAGGACCCCTGTGTGCCCCACCTTCATCACTCCCTCTCTCCAGCAGATGACGAAGACGAGCCTGAAGCAAGCACCCTCGCGCTCCCTGGGAGAGACACTTCCCGTCCCTTGATGACAGCAGGTACTACAGGTAAGGCTGGCGTTCCTGGGACAGCGATGAGAGCACGGCCCTGAAGCCACCAGGCAGGAGAGGGAAGACAGGGTGCCTGGGGCAGCCCCTCCCACAGCCGGGTCAGCAAGGCCACCCGCCCCTCTGACCTCCCAACCCTCAGACGAGTCCAGAGCAGGGCCCCTGGGTCTCAGTCAGCTGGGCTTCTGATCTTGGTTTCGGCTCAGGCCATGATCTCAGGGTCATGCGATCGAGCCCCGTGTCCAGGTCTGTGCTGGATACAGTGGGTTTAAGTTTCTCTCTCTCCCTCTGCCCTCCCCTCTGCTCTCTCTTTCTCTCTCCAATAACTAAATAAATCTTTACAACAAATAAACATGTCAAAAGCAAGGGTCAGGACCAGGAGAAGCCAGGTGAGGACGGCACGTCGACGCAGAAGGCGGCGTGCTTGTCCGTCCCTCGCCCTCCCCCAGGCTCCGAGGCTCTAGCTCGCCAGAGGCCCCGTGCTCCCCAGCGAGCGCGGCCTGATACGCAGCACAACTGAGCACCTTCTCCTCTCTCGTGCACAGATTCCCACAAGCACACAGAAGTGGCTACCACGATGGAGTCCTTCCTGTTCACCTCCGAGTACCAGATAGCAGGTGGGTCGGGGGCTCATGGGTCCCGTGGACAAAACGCAGCCCAGAGCCTGTGGGATATGTTGCTTGGTGGTCTGGGGCGACAGACGGTCGGTCGGTTGGCTTCAAACACCCGCTCCTGACCCTGTCTAGTAGTCCTACGAGTAAAAGACTAACCCAGACACGAATGGCACAAACTCACCGCCGTCGGCCGCAGTGAGTGCGGTGGGAGGGCTCAAAGCAGCACCGAGAGCTCCTGCAGGACGGACCCGAAATGACAAAAGATCCCATAAACCTCACAGTGGTTTCCTGGTAGGAGAGAAAAACAGGCTTTGAGAGGGGAGGAAAAAAACGAGCTCACAGAAACAGAGAGCAGAGCGGGGGTGGCGGGGGCTGTGGGCGCGGGAAGCCGGGAGACGCTGGCGGAAGGACAGAGACTCCGGTCAAAGGACGACTCGGTCCCGGGGAGCTGGTGGACAGCGTGGGGACTCTGGTTAACAGTGGGGTGTCGTAGGCCCCGAAACTGGCTAAAGGAGTAAATGTGCAGTGTTCTCACCGCGAAAAGGACCCGGCAGACAGGAGGGCTGGTGGGAGGTGTGAGGGCTGCGGCCCCAGCGTGGTGTGATGTGTACTCACGCCAGACCAATGCCGCGCACGTCGTCGGCGTCTGCCCTGCTACACGACTGCGCATCCAGAGAGTTTGGGGGAGAAAAGGGAAAACGCGCTGTGAAGAGCATCCAGGACAGCTGTTTGGCCGGGTAGGGGGGCAGGGGGGCAGGGGGACAGGGGGGCAGGGGCTCCCGCCCGGGGAAGGCAGCATTTGGGGAGCAGAAACACTTTCAAGAGAGGCTCGTTGCCCCTTGTGTTTCGAGCTTTCCTTCACCCATCGCAGGCCTCCCCGGTGGCCTCCCTAACCGAGGCCCCGACCCTTGGTGGAGAGCGTGCTGGTCGGTTAGCTCAGCCTTCCAGAAAGAGGCAAGCCCCTCATGGAAAGGTGCCAAGACCTCTCCCACCTCCCTGGGCTCCAGCCCCGGGCCGAGCCTCCCAGGAAACCATGTCGGGGTGGGAGCTGCACTCTGAGAAGGGAAGGCGGGAAGGCAAGCGCTCTGGTCTTCAGGAAACCCCTGCTCTGGGGGGATTTTCTCAGGTTGCTCGGCCAACCCAGCCCAGCGGGAGCCTTAACGAACGGCTTCTCTGTTGACAGTGGCCGGCTGTGTTCTCCTCCTGGTCAGCGTCCTCCTCCTGAGCGGGCTCACCTGGCAGCGGAGATGGTGAGTCCCGGGGGGTCAGGGTCACGAAGCCCTGGCCGGAGCTGGCAGGCGGAGCCGGTGTGCGAAGAGCTCAGGCAGAGAAACCCTCACCCTGTCCTCCTACTAACCAGCAGCGGTTTGGGGAGTCACAGAGAACTGGTCAACCCACACATCCCCAGAGCGGCTGGCAAGAACCCAAGCATGAGGAAATGGGAAAGGAAAGGAAACTAGCATTGGCTGAGCGCCTACTGTATGGCAGGCTCCATGCGTATCTAAGGAACATTCCCACAACCTAACTTCTCAGGACATTTGAAAGAGCTGCATGTTCCCCGATCCAGCCACGCGAACAGGGGTGCATGGCAGAGGCCAAAATAACAGCCCAGATGTAGAGCCCAAGGCCTTTCTGCCCCCGTCACGTGGCCGGAAGGAAACCAAGGGCAGCGTCCCCCTGAGTTTTCCTCTCCTGTGCTCCCCGCTCGACCTACTGCAGATACTCAGACCAGCATGCCCTTGACTGGGACGTGACCCATGTGTGGCCTTAATTGCATTAACTTGTATTTTCAACAGTGGTGGCCAATTAGAACAACCAGGAGAGACTTTTTTTTTAAAAAATACCAATGCTTGCCCTCCAGCCAGGATCCCTAGGACATCAGTGCTTTTTTTTTTTTTCCAAATGGGATAGAATTCATCATTCTGACCATTTTATTTTATTTTTTTTAAGATTTTATTTATTTGACAGACAGAGATCACAGGTAGGCAGAGAGGCAGGCGGAGAGAGAGAGAGAGGAGGAAGCAAGTCTCCCTGCTAAGCAGAGAGCCGATGTAGGGCTCGATCCCAGGACCCTGGGATCATGACCTGAGCCAAAGGCAGAGGCTTTAACCCACTGAGCCACCCATTCTAACCATTTTAAAGTGCATAATTCAGTGGTTTGGGGCAATGTTGTATATATGCCACCACTGTCTCATCACACATCAGAACATTTCCATCATCCCAAAAGGAAACCCTGTACTCCCAATTCTGCGTTCCCCCCAGTCCCTGGAAACCACAAGTCCACTTCCCATCCCTGTGGATTTGCCCGTTTGGGACATTTCCCATAAACGGAACCATACAGTGTATGACCTTGTGTGACCGAGACACCAGTATTTCCTTAAAGCTCCTCAGGGGCACCAAACACACACACGTCCAGTTTTGACAGCTCTGTGCTAGGCCAGCAGTTCCCGAACTTGAGTGGGCTTGTTCCTCAGAAGCTGCTGGAGGGCTTGTTAAAACACGGACTGCCAGGCCCTGCCTCCGGAGCTTCTGATTCAGCAGGTCTGGGGTAGGGCTTGAAAATCTCCATTTCTAGCCAGTTCCCAGAACATATTGATGCCGCTGTTCCGGGCACCTGACTTTGAGAACTGCTGCACTAGACAGAGAATATGAAGGTCAAGAGAGTAAATTCATTTCACACACACATAGGCCACTTTCTCCCTCCTTTTAGGCAGACCTCCTATGTCACTCTCCTGACTCTCTGGGACATCCCTAAAGCACCACCCCCGTGCCCCCCACCAGAGTGCCATCGAACCAACCTTGACATGAGCTCCCCAGGAAGACCCTGAGAAGACACAGGCTCAACCCCTCCCTCAAATCCCAGAGCTCTTAGATCCTACAGTTAGCCCAGACAGGGGAAACCGCAGACGTCTTTGATCATTCTATCGGTCATAAGGCCCACAAATACTCCTGATTTCCCTCATATGAATCAAAGAGCGCCGATTACCGAGGTGGGGTGGGTAAGGCCCCTGGGGTTATTCTATCAGGAATTACTCATATAGAGACCTGACCATCTACCAACTTCTCCATTAGCTGATTCCTAAGGCATTGTTTTAGGATTATGTGCGATGGGGTGTGTCAGGGGCTCAGGATATTGTGGGAACTCAATATGTGCTCTCCCCTCCCTTTGCTGACAAGACTTAATACCTCCTCAAGGAAATTCTCACTTGGTAGCTTCAAGATGAAGAGCCTTCAGACACAAAGGCAGGAAGCTATTTGGGAGTGGCCAACATTTGGGATTTGTGTTGTGACATAAGGAACAGCCTAAAACTAGATGAGTTCCTGCAAGCTCTCCGAGAATGACCGTCTTCCAGGAGACCCACACTCCTTCCCCAAACAGCCTTCTCCCACCAGGTCCAGCCAGCCGGAGAAGCCTTCCCCAAATCTAATTTCATCTGATGGTGCCCTCTTGTGACCACACAGAAATCCTACATGTGACTTTTCTGTTTTTCGTTTTTTGATTTTTGGACCAATTACTAGGGATAAACAGCTGTTGGCTTCCCCTGACTCCTAACAACCAAAAGCCAAAAGCTAAATTTTCATGAATCTTGTGAACCGTTTTTAAGCACAGCCATTGTCAAAAATTCAGTATGTAAACATAGTTACATAGATCATATTGAAAACAAAGTTAATACATACTGGGAAGTAGCCACTCTCTAATTACTTAACTGCTTTATTTGTTCTCAGGGTTATTTCAATCTATTGTCTCTATATTATCGAGGCATTGCCGCACAATGGTCTGCTACTACACACCTCTTCCAGTTCTGTGTTTGGTTGTGTCACGTTGGTAGCTAGAAACTGGGCTTGGTGGGAGTCCTGACGCCATGGAAACAAGCCAACTCTTTTAAAGAGCTGGTTGTTAATCATTTTCCAGCACGCCGTCCTCACAGCCTTGCCCCCTGTGAGCTCCCAGGACGTAGGAAGGGATCAGACATTCCTGTGGACTCAGTAAGGGCTGGGGAAGGTCTAGGACTATGCTGTCCAACAACACACTAGCCACTGGCCACATGGTGGATATTTAAGCCTAAACTTAAATAAATGAAACAACATTAAAAATTCAGTTCATCAGTGACACTAGTCACATGTCCAGTGTTCAGTAGCCACAGATGGCCACCTCATTGGACAACACAGATACAAAACATTTCCATCATCAGAAAGTTCTTACAGTACAGAGTTGGCTAGAAACGGTGCTATCAATTCATGAAAGTCACTTAGCACAGTTACTATTATTCTTTTCTGTACCTACTGCTCCCCCACATAACTCAAAAAAATGTATAGAATATCTCTTGTATAGATGTGGATCAAAGACCAAGCTTGCAGTTAGCACGAATGAGTTCTGGGGATCGAATACACAGCATAGAGATCATGGGCAATAATGCTGTATTCTATACTTCAAAGTTGCTAAGAGACTAGATCTTAAATGTTCTCCCTGCAAAAAAGAAATGATCATTATATGACACAGTGGAGGTGTTTGCTAGTGCTACGGTGGTAACCATGTTGCAATATAGTGATACAGTGTGTATAAAAATACATAAACATGTTGTATGCCACACACTTATACCATGTTACTGTCAATCGTATCTTAATTTAAAAAACAAACAGTATCGCAAGAACATCTGCTTTGTGCCAAGCACTTGCTAGGCCTAAAGATGAATAGGAAGAGGAAAAAGAGAGTTCAAGTACAAATTTTTAAATCCCAAGATTGAGGGGTAATAGGAGCAAAAAGAAAGGACACTGAATCCTACGCGGGGGTGCCAACAAGAGTAGACGGTGCCTACAGCCAGATACAGGAAGTTGCGAGATGGCTGCTCAGCGGCAGGGAGCATGGGGAGAGGTAACGCGGTGTGAATGGACGTGACAATGTCTGGGAGAAGTCAGGCAGCTCTGAACATCAGGTTGTGAGGTGCGTGGGTAGCAGGGACGGCCGTGCTGTGGGGATGGACGGTGACCACATCATGGAAGACCAGGTCAGCCAGAGGGGCTCAGACCCCACCTGAGGAAAACAGCCACAGAAGCTTGACCTGGGGACAAATGGTAGCACTGGCCCTTCAGACAGTCTGGCTGTGACAGAGGTGAGACGGAGGGGACCTAGGAATCATGGTGGCAGTTATGACGCAATATTTAGAGAGACAAGGTGAGCATGAGCAAGGTCAGTGGGCACACACTAAAAAGAAGGAAGAGAATCATGAAATACATAAAGGGGGTCAAATGAGCGGGATTTGCCAGCAAATGGGCAGTAAGGGTTAAGGAAGATGGATGCAGCACGGATGACCCCAAATTTTCAAGTATGATGGGGGACCCCTTAGCCTCTTGGTGAAATAAATGCAAACAGCAGGACACCCCTTGGGGCATCAGTCCCAAAGCAGAACCATCCTGCGGTAGGTTCCCTGAGACCCACCCAGCCCTGGAGCAGACAAGGAAATAGAAGATCTGCTCCCGGCACAATGGTTGTTGAATCTTCGTGCTGTAGGAACCAGGGGCAGGCAGTCGGGACCTCTGGAGGCACGGAGAGGCCTTGGGGTCATATTTCAGGCTGTGGGAAGGTAACAGGACCCCGGGATGGAATTTTAAGTTAGCAGGTCACCGGGGGTTTATGTTGAAGGCTCTCCCCACAGCGGGGTAGGGTAGGGATCACATTTCTTCCTCCGTGCGGTATTACACCCACGACTGACTTAGCTGTATCCCTGCAGGAGGAAGAGCAGAAGAACAATCTAGAAAACTGGGAGTGGTAAGAAGCCAAGGACAGCTCACAGAAGTCGTGGAGCCCAAGCAAATTCAAACAAGTCGAACGCTCGGCCAAGAGGCATCTCCTGGGACCTCTTGGGTTTTGGAAAACTCTGCCGTCGCATGCTGACCCACCGGACCACTGCAAACTCAGGACACAGCCAGCTCCGTAGTACCAACGAGTGGACCCGACCGGCTTCTGGGCAGCAGATCCAGGGTCACTGGAGGAACAGGAAGCAACAGCCGGAACTGTGGGTCTTATTTTCGCGTCGGCGTGGTCATTCAAGCTTGAACAGCATGAGACTCTCCACACCATACACAGTACAGAGAAAAGTAGCTTCGTGTTAATTTCACCCTAACTTCCCAGTTTAGGAAAACCCTAGCACGAATGTAAATAGACACACACACACAGTCCCCTCCCTATGGAACTGGGGGATGGACGCAGATCCTTCCCGGCCGCTGGTTGATTAGCCCATTCTCCAGGCCATGTCCTGTAATGAACTCGGAATCTTTTTGTCCTTGGCTCAGTCCTCTAAACTAGCCCCCTTCCACGGAACCTTCAATCTGAATTTCTAAACAGAAGCCACAGCAGCACTCTTTGGGTAACACTGACAGAGGGCAACCTCTGGGGATCCCATAGCTTTGGCATTTAGGATTATTTACTGGAGGTACGCTGGGAAAAGACAGGAAAACTAAGTCCAAGGTAACGAACTGTGCCTAATAAAAAGCTCTATGTGTACCTTACTAACACGCCCCCTCCAGAGTTAGTTTCTGTGGGATTGTGTTAAGTGATGATCTGAATTGGGTCTGTACCAATGTGATGTTCACAGACACATCACATGCAAATGCCTACATTTTCCAATCAGCATCGTAAAAGCACTGATAAAGGACGGAAGAGCACTGATAAAGGATCACTGCATTTGATGTTTAGGGATGGAAGGAAGAAGGAAGTGTGGTGCAGGGAGGGTGATCCCACAGACAGAAGGTAACCTGGAAAAGGTCACTCCTTAGTAGCCATCAAACTGTTAGCAACGCAGTTAGCAAATCAGATTTACCTGGAGGCCAGGTTGAGGGTGGGCAGGGGGGGTGCATCTGCGGGTCTCTGAGTCAGCAGTTGCCGGCCGAGGACTTACACTGGTAAAAAGTTCCAGGTGATGCCACTGAGGCTGGTCTTGAGACCACACTTTGAGAACCTCTGGGTTCTAGGCCTCCGTGCCCATCCACTCGCATAAATCACGTGATTAAGGAGACTAATGAAAGGTTAAAACCAGCCCGTTTGCATTTCTGAATTCAGGCCAGAAAAGTGTTATTTTTAAAATGGACAGGCATCAGCAGGTCCATATCCAGATGAAAGAACCATTTTCTGCCCTGTCTGTGACTAACCAGGTACAATGCCCATTCCAGTGTCCACTTCCCCATGCCCCCAAGTACATGTTTTCTGGGTTGAGAGGAATCTCAGACCAGAAAAAAAAAAATTTTTTTTAGTGTTACTTCTCTTGAGTAAAATTGAACTGAATTATCATGACTCACTGGGGGGGTGGTGCATGAGAACAAATGTCTTAAATAATAATTAAGATGTTATTTACCTTCTTCATGCTCATTCTAAGTGTATGGTGGAGTTTCCAAAAACTACATGTTATGTGATGATGTCATCTCTCTGATGTTAACACGTAATGAGTTTATTACCATTGTTTATGAGAGAACTAATAAATAATATTAATAAATAATATTTTTAGGGGCGCCTGGGTGGCTCAGTGGGTTAAGCCGCTGCCTTCGGCTCAGGTCATGATCTCAGGGTCCTGGGATCGAGTCCCGCATCGGGCTCTCTGCTCAGCAGGGAGCCTGCTTCCCTCCCTCTCTCTCTGCCTGCCTCTCTGTCTACTTGTGATCTCTCTCTGTCAAATAAATAAAATCTTAAAAATAAATAAATAAATAAATAAATAATATTTTTAAACTTTCTTGGTTTTAATGTCTAAATGTGGTAAGTATCCCTGACTGTAACTACACAGATGAAAGCAGATAAAATCTCTTTGGGATTCTCAATAGTCTTCTTTTTCTTTCTTTCTTAGGGAGATAGAGCCCAGAAAGGGGCAGAGGGAGAGGGAGAGAGAGAATCCTAAGCAGGCTCCATGCTGGGCGTAGAGCTCGACGCCATGACCAGAGCTCCATCCCATGACCCTGAGATCATAACCCAAGTGAAAATCAAGAGCTGGGCATTCACCCAACTGGGCCACCCAGGCGCCCCACCTCGATACTTTTTAATAACGTACAGAGGTCCTGACAAATAGGTAACAAACACATCGTCATTGGTCATTCCAGAAATCCAAATCAAAACCACAATGCAATAGCCCTCCATAGCCATTAAGATGACTCTCGGCCAAAAGGAGAATAACAAATGTGGGCAAGGATGTAAAGAAACAGGAATTCTCGTACATTCCTGGTGGAAATGTAATAGGTGCGGACACTGTGGAGAACAGTCTGGGGATTCCTCAAAACATTAAATATACAATTACCACATGACCTGTCAATTCCAAGGGATACCCAAGAGAGATGAAAAAGTATGTCCACACAGAAACTTGTATGTGACTATTTCTAACAGCACGATTGCCAGACAGCCAAGAGGTGACAACAGCCCAGGTGCCCATCAATGAAGAAATGGACTGGTAATTTGTGGTCTCTCCACACACTGCAATGTTATTCAGCCATGAAAAGGAATATAATACTGATACAGTATGGATACGTGGTGCAATGTGGATGAGTTTCAGAAACATCATGCTAAGGGAAAGAAGCCAGGCACAAAGGGTCCCATGTTATAGGATTCCTTTTATATGATACACCCAGAGTAGGCAGATCCATCGAGGCAGAAAGTAAATGAGAGGTTGGACACTTGGGTGGCTCAGTGGGTTAAAGCCTCTGCCTTCGGCTCAGGTCATGATCCCAGGGTCCTGGGATTGAGCCCCGCATCGGGCTCTCTGCTCAGCAGGGAGCCTGCTTCCTCCTCTCATTCTGCCTGCCTCTCGGCCTACTTGTCATCTCTGTCTGTCAAATAAATAAATAAAATCTTAAAAAAAAAAAAAACAGAATAAAAAACAAACCGAGAGTTGATGGAGGGAGGTGGGTAGAAGATGGGCATTAATGAGTGCACTTATGATGAGCACTGGGTGTTGTATGTAAGTGATGAAGCACTGTATTCTACTGGAACCACTATTATATGTTAACTAACCAGAATTTAAATAAAAATTCAAAAGAAAAAAAGATTTCTATAATAACATTAAAAAAATAAAGTAACTTAAGGCACCTGGGTGGCTCAGTGGGTTAAGCCTCTGCCTTCGGTTCAGGTCGTGATCCCAGGGTCCTGGGATAGAGCCCCGCATCGGGCTCTCTGCTCAACGGGGAGCCTGCTTCCCTTCCTCTCTCTCGGCCTGCCTCTCTGCCTACTTGTGATCTCTCTCTGTTAAATAAGTAAATAAAATCTTTGGTTTAAAAAAAAAAATGAGAGGTTAACTGGGGCTGCAGAGTGATTATTTCACATTTTACACAACACCCTTGTGAATGCACCAAATGCCACTGAAGTCCACACTTTTTATGGTTATGTGAATTTCACTTCAATTAAAAGAAACAAACAACAAAAAAAAGAGATCCTGAAACCCAACTATTTGAGTATAGCGGGTCCCAACCATGGCTCTCAAAGAATGGTCCTCAGTTCACAATAGAGGGTCCCCCAGGGGTGCAGGCAAAGGAGCACCCCCCAAGATTTCTTCAGTCTGAGGGGTTCAGATGAGGGCTCCTGTCTGCACTGTGGCTGGAGGCTGGAAGGCCTGAGCCTTGACCCCACCTCTGGACCCAAGAGTAGAACCAACCTCCCTCATTGGTTGCTTGAGGTGGACAGAAGAGTGAGCCGTGAGAGAAAAGGAGGTCATTGCCAAGAGAAGGGAGCACGGATGAGGGGAAGCAGCCACACCTTTCTCTGTGCCTTTGCTTCCAGGCAGTATTATTCTATTATGGGAGAGCCTCGATTTTCACATCAGTCATACCCTTAGAAAGCTTAGGAGGATCTAGGTCAAAGCTCTGTCATGGGAGCAGGAGAGAAAAAATGTGGACAAGTAGATTTGTAGCGCCAGCATCTGGGAGTTTTTAAGGATGTCGAAAGGCCTTCTGAGGTTCTTCTGACCATGTGCTGGGCTGTCCAGGCGGAACGGGGACACACACTTGGAGTGGAAGGGAATTGGAGCAGGAGTGTTGAGCGGGGGTTGGGCGACGGCATCAAGATATGATTGTCAGTGGACTTGTGAGCCGGACCCAAGGGACTGGAGGCTCCTCACCCCTCCTCTGTCCTTGGAATGTGAGTTCTGCATGCCTCTCCTCTGAGAGGCTGCTCCAAGGACACAGCCTCAGATAGGGATGTGGTGTGGAGGACATCTGCTCAGTATCCGGGACTGACCCAGTTAAGGCTTCTCTCTGAACTTCCAAGACGCAGTGGGTGGGTGGGCGTGGCATCCACCAGGCTTCCTGTCCCCACCCCCAGCCACGTCTTGTATGTAAATTCCCTTGTTTATTAAAACTGCCACCTACCAGCCTGGGGCCACCTGCCTTCTTCTTCAGTCCCTCCCTGCCCTCCTCCAACAGACAGACGCTGGTTTCAGATTTCCTTGGAGAAGCTCCAGAAGAGGCTGCAAACCAGCAACGGGTGAGCCAGCCAGGGAACTGGAGAAATGAGCCCTGGGAATGAGACATCGCAGGGAAATCCTGGGTCAAGTGACCTCTGTGTGGGGAGGGGTGGCCCACACATCAGATGCTTGTTTGTAGGACTACAGGACCCCCCGCTCCCCCTTCCGAACATACCAGCTGCTCTCAGGGGCTTGTTTGGGGAAGTGCACGCGGTTCTCCACGGCAGAGAAGGGAAGCAAGGCGGCAGCGGGCTGGCCTCTGGCACAGGCCATTCTGTGGGCCGCGAAGCCCAGCTCGAGGCTGAAGCTGGAGTCAGGAAGCTAGAGCTATCAGGGGAGGACGCGCTGGTGTCCACTACTCTGCTGGCTTTGGGGCCAGCAGATGAGGCGGGAGGGCAGGGTGAGTATAGAGGTCTTAGGCAACCCTGGGAGGTGAGCCAGTAAGAGTCTGGCTCTTGATCTCATCTCAGGTTTTGATCTTAGGGTTGTGAGTTCAAGCCCTGCCTTGGGCTCCATGCTGGGTGTGGAGCATACTTAAAAAAAAAAAAAAAAAAGTTAGAGGTCTTAGCATACCCTTTGTAAAAAGCTTGGAGGGTTCCAGATGCTTTGGATTAGGATCTGGGCACCTGTGGCAAAGCCTGAGTAGGAGTTAAGAGATGTAATCCCTGAGAATGTGATAAGAATGAGGACAAGGATATTATGGTAACTGAGGAGAAAATAGATAACATGTGCCTTGCCTTCTGACCAGTAATATGGAAACATTTTAAATTGCAATGATTGGAGTGCCTGGGTGGCTCGGTGGGTTAAGCCCCTGCCTTCAGCTCAGGTCCTGGTCTCAGGGTCCTGGGATCCAACCCCTCATCGGGCTCTCTGCTCAGCAGGGAGCCTGCTTCCATTTCTCTCTCTACCTGCCTCTCTGCCTACTTGTGATCTCTCTCTCTCTCTCTGTCAAATAAATAAATAAAATCTTTAAAAAATAATTTTAAAAAAATTTAAATAAAATGTTAAAAAAAAAAAAAAAACAATGATCCCAATGCAATGACCCCAAAACTCCTAGGGGGGAAACTTGCATTCTTTCTCTTTCCCTTGGTGTTGTAAATCTTATCATGTCTTTGAAATGTAAACAGCCAAGAGATAAACAAATCACAGCTCAGGAAGACTGAAGGAAAAGGGGGTGAGGGGGAGGGCGGCCTTTTAAAATAAACACTGCTTGCTGTAGGAGCTCCCTTCCCCAGAATCCAGTCCACAGCAGCCAAAAGATTACAACGATCAACCAGAAGCTTTAGCTGTGGGAGGGGGAACCTGATTCCCAGCTAGAGATTAGGAATGAACGCTCAATAGATACAGAAAGCTGGAGAAGGTCTGTGGAAAAGAAATATTGAGAAAGGAATTTACTATGTAGCCGAGCAATGATTAAAGTAGACTTACGTAAGAGTTCTATCAAAAGTGCACTGGTACAAAATTGGAATTTACTTTTCTCTGTGTGAAAGGGAGAAAGTTTTCTTAGATGATTGGTTTGCTCTTAATAAGACATTGTAGACAAAGGCTTTTCTTTGCCTTTCCGTACCTGGGAAACTAAGATTCTGTGTTTTGTCTTTATCAGGTCTTTGATTACTTAAGAAAGTCCGTCTTTTCTGTTAAAGCTAAGTCGTTCACAACTTTGCAACTTGTGTTACATGTTAAATTTCATGGGTAGCATTGTCCAATAAGAAGCAATGCTAAAGTTTCTTGAGGCTATACGTGCAAGAAATTCCCCAGACTCTGGACTGTCCTAGTAAAATGGTATCAGTCATAACTTTTGAGTGTACGTCAGAGAAACAAACAAGCCCCTGGTCCGTTGCATCAGATGAACTCTCATCAGATCTGCAGCCACGGCCACTTCCAAGTCTTTGGTCATTTGCAGACAGTTATTGTTTTATCTGCTCCTTGGCAAAAAGTGTTCCTGCAAAAGTGACTCATCTTCAGGGAGATGCGTAGAAAAAACTCTGACAGGTTTCTAGTAGATAAGATCAATTTGCCTTCATGTGGGAGGGATAATAATAAA